CATGGCCATGGACATATTAAGAGTGCTTGTCATAGAAGCGAGCATACTTAATTATATTCTCAATTTGCTTGATTCGGGCTTGCCATTAGTATATGATGACTGGGGAAAATGAGCCACAGCTAATTTGTAACGAACTGCAAAAGGTCGTTCTTTCATAAGGTTATTCACAGATTATAATTGCTTTTTCTTGGTACATGTTCTACGTAAACCCTCTCCGGGAAAGGATTTGGATACTTCTCAAAGTCCCGTTTGGATATATAAAGGAAAAACAGTTGTCTTCAAGTAACACTGTTTTTGAAGCGATGAGAACGGATTAACCGGGATGCTAAGGCACAGACAATGGGCCGTGTTCTAAAACAAAAATGCTTAATCATTAAGATGCACAGTATTTTCGACTCTTCCGTGATTTACTTAACGTTTTTATGAATGGGGAGCCGGGATTCCAGCAAACGATTTAACCAACCGTAAATGGATCATAGAGCCTCTATACTCATTAGAAAACACGCAAACTAAACACAGAAATGTATTTCTAAAAGGACAGTATGGTATTATTGCGTAAAATGCTGTAGAGCTAGTGACTTGTGCTCTTGACAATAATATTGACTGATCATTGGGCCCAACATATGTTCATATAAAAGCCCTCATGTCCTACCTAGTTCTCTAAACTAAAACTTATTATAGTGTATTAGTCGAACAACGGAGTGGGTTTGGAAAAAGAAGAAGGTGCATGAAGTTAGGAAAAACTTACTTGAGTAAATTCAAAGCACACTACGATAGTTTCGGCGACAGACATTGCCTCTTCCTCCCCTTCAGGGGAAAGAAACATTTTAACGCCTACTTCCGCAGTATAATATTTGCAGTCGATAGTAAAGCGATCTTGTTCATCATCCACCAAAGCTTTCGATGGCATTTCAAAAACGAGTTATTACCTTTCCGTACATCCATTGCTAAAGTCTCGGCAGATGTGCTCGGGATAAGAACGAATGGGATCATCTTAATCGTTCAAGATGTGAAGATATCTCTTTACTTGAAATCGCTTATGTTGAAAATATGTCGCAAAGGCACAACCAAATCTACAGGACATAAAAAGCTTAAATGCAAGTCAAGCATCGCACCCCAAAAAGGTAGTCTCCTAATTAATTAAATAGACCGGATAGAGGGGAAATAAGAGAGGTAATTGTGCATAATTTTCTGCTGCAGCATGGGACGAATTAC